TTATCAATGTCCAGTGTGGCTTTGTTGAACCGCTGCATGTAATCCCTCAAAGACTCCCCTTCCTTCTGGCTAACTTGCATCAGCTCGGTTGCTGTGCGCTTGATCTCCCTTTGGCTTGCAAATTTGTTAGAGAACAACTTGGCGAGCTGGGAAAACGAATCTATTGAATGCCTGGGGAGTTTGTGATACCATCTTCGGGCTGTTGATTTCAGTGTCGCCGGGAATACTTTGCACATCTTGGCATCATTAGCGTTTTGAATCCTCATGATGGCTTGATAGGTGTGTAGATGTTCATCCGGGTCTTTCGTGCCATCATATGTCTCTAGGTGGGGAATTTTGAATCCCTCTTGATATGGCTCTGCTGTGATGGATAGGTTCAGCGGAGCACTATCCAAATCCAAAGTCTGCTGATGCGACCGAGGGCTTTTCAGCTCGTCAATGGATTTCTGTACATCCCGCAGTTGCCTTTCGAGGTCTGCGTTCTTTCTCATCAACTCTTCACTGTATTTGGACGAGCTGGGCTCGACATTCAACTTCCCACTTCCCCTCGGCCTGGTCGGCACTACTATATTGCTTAGAGCGGGGGAGTTTCTAGTTGCAACAACCGCAGCTGGTTGTGCATCCCTATTCAGCAAAGGAATCAGGGGGTTATCAGGGATTAAGCGGGCAAGGATTCTTCCCATTGCCATTTCGAGAACTCTGGTTCTCTCTTCTAGCTCGGTTGTCCGAGCAGGTTCTGCTGACCTTTCAGGCCGTTCACGCTGTGAATTGTTCGGTCTGGCAGATCTTTGCCTCGTTCCTGTTGGAGCTGGGAACTGTTCAGGTTGGGTTGCATACCCAGTTGGTGTTCTTTCATCATCCGTCTCACTTAGGTGATCCTGTTCGGCTCCTCCTACAAAGAGATTTCTTGGCATCGGTCTAAAGTCATTCAAGCCGGCCTCAGATACGTGATCGTCCTCCTGTTCGTCTATTTCATTTCTTGGAGGGCGTTCTCCTGTAAAGGTACGGACCATTTTGTCTTTCAGCAGGTTAAGTCACACGGCTTTTTGTTCGGGTTCCCACAGACGGCGCCAATGTTTCGGCAGCTTCGCAATCCAACACTGTTGAAGTCCTCAGCTGCTTCTACACCTGAAAATCCCGAGGATGTTTCCTCGGGGAAAACACTCCAACGCTCAAGTCAGCAATACTCAATATTCTGGAGAGAGATGCTCTCAAGGAGTAATTGCAGAGAGAGAAGCGTAGAGATTCATTACCTTCTTCGGAGGTGGTTGGGGGTTATTTATAGCCCCAAGTGCTGACATGTATCTGCACATGTAAACCTCTCATTGGCCCACGTGGTGCTGCCCACGTGGGTATGTCTCCTCCTCTTGGGCCTGTGGGTGCATAGTTGGGCCTACTGCATGTGGCCCTCAGAGGGCGTTGGGCCTAATCCCAACAAGTATATATCTTGAAAGTGAATCATGTTTCATGAATATAATATATAAATTTAATCACAAGCCACCCCTGGATCCCCAAATGACGCACTCAACCACAGCTACTAAGAGAGCACAAATTGATTGTATCCATTGCTTTCTGCTTCCACACTGTCGAAG